TTTTTTTTTTTTTTTTTTTTTTTTTTTTTTTTTTTGAACTGGAGATTGAACTCAGGCCCTTGAGTTTGCCAGGGAAGAGCTTATTCCACTGAGCCATCTCCCTGGCCTCTCTTTTATACTTTTAAAAATTATTCATTAAAACCCAAAGACCTTTTAAAATCTGGATTATATCTCACTATCTGTTGTTGTGGAAATGAAAACAGCATTTTTCTCAATTGTTAACTTAATTCATTTAGAATGATAATAAAACCATTACACATTGATATAAATAACCATATGTTCCTAAAATAAATTTTCCAAAACAGAAAAAGTTTAATGAGAGTCATTGTTTTACATTCTTGCAAACTTATTTCATGTCTGGTCTAGTGGAAGATGGCTAGATCCTCCTGAGGCTTTCTGTGAATCAGACCACTGCATTATACATTGGCCCAAGTGAATGAAGACATCAGGCCTATCAGATGTGTAGTTAGAAAAGAAAATAATTTCACAGACTTTGCAGGTTTGTTTAATACTTCACCAAAAGTAGTTTGGCAGTTTCTTACATCTCTTGTGGTGTCTGAAATCCTCTCATCCCACTGTTTTGTACTTTTACGTTAAAATTAATCTGCTTCTCTTGCACATCGGTTCTGTAGTATGATACACTGATCCTTTGGAAAATGCAGATTCACTGAGTTTTGCAGATCTTGCAAATGTTGACATAGTTCGTTATGCAGTACTAAAAAAATCACATTTGTTGTTAGCTCCACTAGTGTCATCAGAAAGCTTTCAAGCGTTAGGAAGCTATCAAGTTCTTGGTGGCTGATACACATTTTCCAAAATTCTGCTTTTCACTTCAAAGCTCTATTTTTATCATTGCTGACAAATGCTATTAGTCATTTTCCTTGAAGCGACTGGTTCACTAGGTTCATTTGAGAGAAAATAGCTACCAGATACCTGAATTGAAGTAACTGCAGTTTGGTAGTCAGTCTGGCTAGTTTAGCTGGCAACTGGGTCATCTAGGTGTTTTTCCTCAATGCGATCATTTTACTTTGGTAAGTGAAAGAAATGTTTTGACTTTCCATTGCACGAATCCAAATGTGCAACATGCATTTAAGTCAATATTTAATAAAAGTTAATGTTTACTGCTTCACCCAGGACTCTTAAGGATATTGTAATTGTGAGTGCGAGGCAGCGAAGCGAACAATGGCAGGTACAGTTTGTATCACTGTGTTGGTCTTTTGGAGGTGCCTGTCATTTCACTCACTGTTACTTTTTGCACCATGATGTGAAGTGTTAACACAGTGGAAAAGGCAGCTATCTTGGTATTATCCTGGAATTATTTTAACTCCATGAGCACCTCCTCCATGAAAAGATCTGTCTCTCAGCTCTCTTCAGAGACTGTGTTAGCCATCAGCTACAAAAAAGGGTGCATTTCCACAGGTGTAACCCTGTTCATTTTCATTGCTAGCAACAGTGCTGCCATTGTGGCCATGAAATTTCTAGGCATCTTTTACTAGAGTTACTATATGGCAACTTCTGTTTGAGGGAAGAAAATGTTTATTTTTTTTAACTTAAAGAAAAGCAGGTGATTAGTTGGTGGCCTTAAGACAAGATGAAATGGCCTGGCATTGTGCTGCAAAAGTGGTAGTGGCAGAAAGCAGGAGACCAGGCCAAGGGGCAGAGCTGAAAGGAAGTCTTTAGAGACTTGAAAGAGTTGTTTACATCCAAGAGTGGGCTTGGGGGCTGTGTGGTAAGGGTTTGGAAGGAAACTCCAGGCACCAATGAGAAGGCTGTGGGACCAGCTATTTAGCTGCTGGAGATTTTTGTCTCTAAAGTGGACAATGAAGGGATGGTTGAAATGACAACAGTTGGGTTAGTCTGGACTGTTGGGGAGGGGGGGTGGCCATGGGATATTTTTAAAATTTTTAAAATTTTATTTATTTACTTATTTTGGCCATGGGATATTTGAGTGATACCAATGGAGGAAGATGGAGAGATCCAGAAGAGTGCAGACTCTGTTTCCTCAAGAGGCCATTGAGGGTAACTGTCAATAGATGGGGATATTTGAAATTATCTATGTAGACTTTTCTCACTTTCCAAAAGACCTCTGAGAGAATTCTCTAACATTCCACAAGCTTGTGGTTCTCTGGGCCCAGCATTAAGAGTAGCAATTAGTGCTAATTAATTGGAATTTGGACTGCCTGACTTGCAGGATGGGTGTGTGTTGGAGAGATGTTTATGAAAGATGGTGTTTATCCTAAGGATTTCCCTTTCTTTCAAGTTTCAAGGCTAGAGGCTTAAGTACCTTTGAGTCAGAGGAAGGAGGTCCAGTAGTTGTGAAGCCCAAATCTCTGCTCAAGTGCTCTGTAGGATTACAGTCACCAGGGAAGGATGAGATAGAGCAAGATGAAGATTTCATGGCCCCAGTCCAGGGCAGAGTTGAGCAAGTGAGACAGACAGTGAACAGACCAGCCAGCGAGTAAGCTGGAGAGTGTGGTTTTTCTCCTTGGGCTGGTCAGTACCTTTGTTTTCCTGTGAGCCGTTCTTTCCATTCCTATAGGCCACATGTCAGTTTGAAAAATCAATAAGGTGTAATACTAAAAATAAAATGATAATAAATAGCAAGAGATGAATATTTCCAAGGCCCCATTTCTTGCCCTCACATATTGCTAGGAGGCTGCATGTGGCATATGTCCTTCATTTGCATTAGCCGCTGCTCATTCATCGCACCCTTGGCAGAGCAGGATGCTGGGAGGGATCTGCCCATAGTTATAAGCTAGTCCCTCCTGGGAAGGAATAAACATGCAAGGCTGGTCTGTTGTTCTCCAGGAAGAATAAGAAACGCCGACTTGGGGAAACTGAGGGTCAGGAGGGATCTCGCTTCCCCTGCAGGCTCCTGGGGAGTACTGGGGGTGGGGTGGGGATGTTGGTCATGGGAGGCCTCTGGCTGCAGAGTCTTCTGTGAGAGACTAGGGTTTGCACAAGACAGTGGTCTCTGTTCCAGCCAGAAAGAGAAGATCGTGGAAGTCAGCACTGAGGTCTGAGTTGTTTCTCCAAAGAACCCAGCTGGGGTTTGTGGGCTCACAGTGCTACTTTTTTTGCTCTTGTCCTGAGCTACAGCCATCAGCTTTTCAGGTCCTTGGGGATGACAGGTTTCCTCATCAGGAATTTAGGGTTTGAAAAGCATGCTCACATGCACCTATATTTTATTCTCTCCAAAGCCCTGTAAGATCAAAATTAGCACTAACTGGAAATGACAGAGGAGATGATGAGAATGGGCTGGCTCCCTACCCCCACTGTCAGCCAGGTGTAAGCACGTCAGCGGTACTGCTGAGTAGAAAAGATGACTTCTCATTTTGTTCAGGAGACAACTAATGCTCAGAGAAGTTGACATAGATTTGCCCAGGGTCGCAGAGATAATGAAAGATATGGGCAAGGTAAAAGCCAGATTGGGTCGTCCTGTGGGAATGGTGATTTTCCATAGCAGGTTTGGGGTTCTTTGTTCCTCTCTGCAACTGGAGAGGGCACAGGCTTTCTGTGTGGCTTTATACACTGGGCCTTGGGGAGCCAGCCTGGCTATTTCTTTCAGGCTTTCTGCCCTCTTTCTCCTCCCACCATCCTTGCCCACCCCCAGCACTCCTTTACTCTGTCTGCCCCCAGCAAAGAGGAGCAGATCATCTGAATTGCCAGCATCTCAGCTTGCAGAGCCAGTCATTGCCTTTTGTGTCCAGTTAGCCAGCTTTCATCTCCTCCACCTGCTGGTGTCTGCTTTCCCTTATTAGCATCCTTCAGCTCTTTGCTGAGCCCTCTGTCAGCTTTGTGGCCTGCTCAACTTGTTTGTCAGAGATGAAGGCTGAGGGACACACACATACAAGAGGGTGGTTCCGGCCAGAATCGCTCACATTTTCCATACTAGGTGCCAGGCATCTCTCTCCTCTCCATGCCCAGAGGCAGCCAGGTCTAGGTCACCTGGCTGAGAGGCAGACAGCTGATAGCTAGAACTCTAAATTTGGGGCCTTTGGAGCTGTGGTGTTGCCTTTCAGTTCCCCTCTGTGCACGAAAGGAGAGCTGGTTCCTATTGGCTGCTTTCGTGCCCAAGTGGAAAAGCCTACTCACCAATTCCTCCCCAGAAGCTTGACCCAGCCCACAGTTCTCTGCTCCAAGACCACCTGTGCTGCTGAGCTATCCAGACGCCTGGTCCCAGACAGTGGTGCTTTCACTGTCCTTGTGTGCACCTACAATACAATAGCCACAAGCATCTGGGTAAATTTCATTAAATGTGCATGTATGCTTACTCAATCACATGTAAGTTTATGTTAATAAATTTAACATTTGGCCACACTTCAGGTGCTCACTAGCCACATGTGACAAGGGACTACTATATCAGACAGCACAGAGAACATTTTCATGACTGTAGAACATGCTGTGGAGCAGCGCTGATCTCTATAGCCAGCAATTCCGGTCTATTGTCAGTCAGACTCCCATCTCACAGACTGGCTCTTCCTCTCAGAGGGTCCTGAAGCTCCCCTGACTTTTCAAAGCAATCTTTGTGAATTCCCAAAGTTTTCCGACCTGTTGGGAATGGCAGCCATCTAGCTGAGGGTGACTCTGCAGAGATATGATGCCTGCTATTCCTACATTGGGGGGTGTGCAAGGCAGGGGTGTTCCTGGGGTGTGTCACTGACAAGACCTCATTCTAGTTGCGAAGGAAGAAACTTGGTGCCCTTAGTTCCATCCAAGCCATCAGCCTGGGCACAACTGTGTGACAGGTGGATGCAGAAAGCAGTGCTGGAAGAGGGGGAAACACTTCAGGCTGGGAGGACCGTAGCTGCAGATGGATTCATCTAGACCTGCATGGGCCTGGCCTGGGGGTGGGAAATGCTCTTTGGAGCCTCTACATGTTCACTTTTGGCACTTTTGGAGATGAACCTTTGCTGAAGAAGGAAAGGAGGAGGATTTTCTTTTCTTTTCTTTTTTCTTTTTTCTTTTTTTTTTTTTCGCTTTTCTAGAGAGGTGCTGTGTCACTGAGCTATATGCCCAGCCCCCCCTTTTTTTTTGTTTTCTGCAATCCAGAGAGAAGAGGCACTTGGGGCTTGGACATTTAAGCAGGAGCACTTTCTTTTTGGAAAAAGAGTTGCTCTGTGTTCTCTACCAGTACCTGAAGGCAAGCTGCATGCCAGGCTGGCCTGCCACCTTCACCCTACCTGCCATGTGCTTGGCAAGTTGAACTTCAGTTCTTTTTTCCACTGCCTTCTCCACCCCATCAAATTGCAGTTGCAAGCTCTCATTTTGCTTCTGCCTGATAATTAAAAAGCATGACTTAGTGGAAAACCATTGACCTCCTTGGGGTCAGCCTCTTAAGCAGCTGTCAGAGATAAGATTGTGCTCGGAAAAGACTGGGCAACACTCTGCAGGGCTTTGTGTCTGTTTGCGAGGAAACCATGAGGCTGTTTGGTCCTGGGTGCATGTTGTTTATTTTTGGAAACAACTACAATTTTCAGAGGCCTAAATTGTTATAATCTGATAATAAAAGAACACATCTGATGGAAGAGTTAGAACAATTATTATAGTGATTTTTGAAAAATACAATTAATAAGCTTTGTCCAAAAATAGCTTAAAAAATAACTTCTGCTCTAAGCAATTCAGGGAGTGAAGTTGTTTGACAACTAAGCAGTCTTAAAAGTCTGGTGCTCAGACTTTCCCCAAGGACTTCAAAGACTTAATTGTAGAACTCATGGTCTGAAAGGTGTTGTTTGGAGTTATTTTAATTACTGTGTTAGTATTACCACTTCTTGCATAGAGATCAGGTACTTATTACAGTCCTGCTGAACCTGCTCCAAAGGAGACATTTTAATTTGAATTTTACTTTTCTTCTCGAGAACCTTATCCTCTCTGTTTGCCAATGCTTGGACCCATCAAGAGGTGCAAATGATGTCGGGGTGGTTGAGGGGACTTGGCGGGGTCATAGAATTGATGTTAAGGATCTAGTGAGGATATTGGTTCTGTGACTTGATTGAATGTCCTCATATGAAGGCTTCATTGAACTCCTACAGATGCTTGAGTCTCGTGCAGCCACTTACAGGAAAGTGGCCTTGTGCAAGGGACATACCTAATGTATGCTTCAGTTTCCTTACTTATAAGACAGGGTTCCCATCACTGCTTGCCTCATAAGGTTATTATGAAGACCAGGATTTTTCTTGGCACAATCTCAACCATTTTTGCACCCTTCCCCCTTATTGAGGGACAGACCTAGACTGTGTAATGAAAAGAGTGTAATGAAATTAGACACTAACCTTTTTTACAGTCTTCCTGCTTCTCCTGGCATGGCCTTGCCTTTTGTCTCTTTCCCTCTTTCTTGAGTGATTGTAATTAAAATTAGGTTTTCATTTCTCCCAGCTATGTCAGAGGGAGGCCCGGGCTTCAGCTTGGGGTCCAGGATAGAGAGAGATCAGAGGCTGTACAGTTGAACGTCTTCTCTTGAGAGCTCATGGCTCTGTCTCAGGTCCTGAAGGCTTAGGACAAGTACGTAGCCCAGAAGCTCATCATGGTGCCTGCCTCCAGCAGCTCCCTGGACATTGGAGACCAAGGCCTGCTCACTCTTCCTGGTCAGTCTCCCATCTGTGAATCACAGCTGTAGACTCATGGCATCCTGTCTCATTTTTCTGAAAGTCATAAGCATGGAAGAACAGTGGATGAAGGTTGGAATTCTGATCCAGGAGCTAAGGCAGTGAGGGCGAACCTTTTAGAGCTTGCAAAGACAAGCAAATAACAAATCACCTGCAATAGTAATTCATGCCTGAGTTTCGCCACAGCTAGTCTAGGGTCCTAGTGCTCCCAGGGTGGCATGGCTTCAGTAAAGGGGTGTCTGAAGGAACTCTGTAAACTGTAGTGTCTTTTCCACTCACTAGGGTTCCTCTGTCTCACTCCCATAGTTTAAGGTAGGAAGACGCCTTGTGGCCTCAGCCCCCACCAAGGGGCTCTGCTCCACTTAAGACGTAAGGAAGCCCCAAAGAGCTTACTTGACTGGCTCCCTGCTTGGCCTCTCCCAGTTTGTGTGAGTGGTGCAGACCAAGGGCAAAATTTCAGGTTAGCCACATAGCAGAAGGAAGTGCGGGATTGTGGTCATTGTCCCTAGGCCCCTTTCAACAGGCCCATGCCTGGCCCCTCCTCTGACTTGTTTTCCTCCTGGCTGCTATTATGAGACTTTTTATGAGCCCTGTTAAGTCTTTAATGAGGCCTGGTCGTGCAGCTGGCTTAAGCCTTAATCCCTAGCAATAGGCCTTTATTGGATAAATGGTTAATAATCGCTGGTCTACAGGGATTGAGGAGGCTTCTCGAAGCCCGTGATTCCCAGAAGCCCCATGTGGCCTGTGACGTGATCAGAGTGTGACTTGGCATGGAGTTGGGGTACAGTAAGATTTGTGCCCTAGGAGTTCCATGGGAGTTGGGAGGGGCCCAGCATTTCCCTACCTCCAGGGTCAGGAGACCTGTGTACGTGGGAACCTGTCTCCATCTAGGAGGCACAGGCAGCCTCCCAGGATCTTTCCAATTGGGCATCTCCACTCCACTCACTCCAGATGTCCTTTTGCTGTGAACAAGCTCTGTGATCTCCAAGGAGTCTTCTGACTCCTGTGGTCCTGGGTTTCTTATCTGCCACAGAGAGGTGGGAGGAGATGGCTTCAAAGGTGCCAAAGTGTCTGCAGTTTGGTGAGCCCTAGCTTCCTAAACCAAGGCTCCTTTCTGGCTCCCAAGCATGTCACTAAGGGCTGTGAAAGGCAAGGGACCAGCAGCCTGTGGATTAAATACTTAAGCTGCTGGGCAAAGAATTGGGTCAGCTGTAGTCATAGGGCGGTGTGTGCGAAGGGAATCCGGGGAGCCAGAGTTGGCCCTTGGTTTTAGAGCCTGGCTTGGGATTTCTGCCAGTTCTTTTTAAAGTCTACACACAGTAGGCTTTAAAAAACAGAACCTTACGGTAGGACTCTGGAAAAAGGAGTAGACGTCCCAGGTGTAGAGCTGGTAAGAAGCCAGGAGCTGCTAACAGGGCAAAGGAGAGCACCCTGGATTTTGTTCTCTGTTTCCTTGTGACTAGGCGCCTCCCTTCAAGCTGGATTTGGCTTTGACTTGATGGTTGCAATGGGATCAGACTTGAGGGTAGGAAGGTGCTGGGGCACAAGCAAGGGGGTGGAACAGACCTGGGTTTGAGATTCTTTCATGTCCGGGCTGTACGGTCTTGAACAACTTATGGGCCCAAGCCTGTGATTCTTTAAGATAGCATAAACAGCACCGGCTTTTGATTTGTTGGTTTGAAATGACATGTAAAGAGCCTGCTTCTACTAGGGCCCAGTAACTATTCTGGAAGGTACTCTATGTTTTAGTACCTGTTGTATGCTTCATAAAATGCTCACTGACAAAACAAAAACAGCTTGCTATGACAGCATGGTTCTTCTCTCTAGTTGTGAAACAGAGTAAAAAGATGATTTTATTAGCCTGTTGGATTCAGTGGGTTTGTCCCTGGATTCTCAGGAAGGTCAGGCTGAGGGGTAGCTTCTCCCAGGACCTACTCCTCTGGCTCCTATTGTGTGCCCCCAGTGTCCAGAGGGCACCACAGTCCCTAGCAGGTGCCCAGTGCCCTGTGTGCCACATGTGTGTAAGAGGAAGGAACTGAATTCCTCTTTTCAAATATGTGCGTGACCAGGTGGCTGCTCTGCTTCTCTTTCAGATCTTCCCCGACCCATCAGACTTCGACCGCTGCTGCAAGCTGAAGGACCGCCTCCCCTCCATAGTTGTGGAGCCCACAGAGGGGGAGGTGGAGAGTGGGGAGCTCCGGTGGCCTCCTGAGGAGTTTTTGGTCCAGGAGGATGAGCAGGACAACTGTGATGAGACGGTGAAAGAGAACAAGGAGCAGTAGAATCCTGCGGGCTTTCTGAGGTCATGCCAGCTAGCATCTGGACTTGAACTGTGTTTTTCCCATCATGATGGAAGAAGAGAGTGAGCCCCGATCATTCTGAAAATGTCAAATGAGGCTTCCGTTCTGCACCTGCAAATCACCCGAGTTGGTTTTCTTTTCTTTTCTTGTCTCTTTTTGAAATTCGTTGAGCAGTGGAGCCCTCTGACAACTTGCAGAAGCTTCAGAGAAAGGAAGCTGCCCAGGGGTGGGGGTACAGGAAGGGTGCTGCTTCTGAGACCAGTATCTGGGCTCCAGCAACCAGAGGTGGTGGGCAGTCCAGTGGGCTGAAGGGGGTGTGCAGGCAAGCAGGGAATATTGGGGACAGGGAGATAATCCTGGGCAAAAGAAGAAACTTGGGTGTTGTTAAGAAAACACTGAGCAGAGAACTGCAGCCAGGATGTGTTTGGCATGCATTCTCTGGTTGCTGGGACATCAGAAACCAACGCTTCATGTGCTCTGTCTGTGTCTCACCCACCACCAGCTTTGGCTTTGATTTCAGGTGTGTCTAAGACAGAGGGCAAAGAACAGGGGAGCAGGGAGAACTGGCTGCTTACAGAGCCAGCTAGAGAGATACTTAGGAAAGGAAAGGTTCCCGTTTTCTTTCTTCCGGATGTTGCCCCACTTGTTTTGGGTTCAGGGGACCCCCCAGGCCTTGAGGTTTTTAGGAGGCGAGCTTTTAAGCCTTTCTCCCATTTGCCTACAGCGCTTTGGAGAATGAGAGGACACTTCCTGCGCTTGTTGTTGCCCCAAAGCCCATGCTTGGGTGTGAAGGTTCCTCTTCTCTGACCCCTCCCAAACTTATTCTTAGGGTCCCACAGAGCAGAGGTATGGCATGGTGGCTCCCCTCAGGCTGCCCGAACACCTCCTCCTGCCACGCTGTGGCAGTGGCCACCACTGCAGCCAGACAGATGGGTCCCCAGCCTGTTATGGACTGTAGCCCACCTCACTGGGAGCAGCACGCATTCTTTTGTTGGTTCTTGGCTTGACTTTTTGGTGGGAGCTGAGGAAAGCATGCTTCTTGGTGGAGCGGTGTCTTCTCCCACAGTCTAGGCCTCCTGGGGTGCCATGGAGCAGCTGTGGGATTTGGTTTAGGAAGAGATCACTGCTTCTCCCTGCCCTGCTCCCAGGTGCAGGTGGGAAGAAGACATGGGGAGGGAGTGCTCAAGCCCTCATCCCGCCCCACCTTCCACCTGTTTCCAGCAAGGACAGCAGTTGCCTGAGAAAGTGAGCCTTGGGACTCAGCTCCGGTCATAGCTCAGAACCTTCTGGAGCAGCAGGCTGCAGGAGAGACTCTCCTGCCATCTCTTTCAGAGCAGCCAAGAGGTGGAATTAGAAACTTCTTAGGGCTACACTCAGCCAAGCAAGGCACCCACAGTGTCCCCTTGGGTCTCCAGATAGAGTTGACCCTGGTTTTGGACTTGTGTGTCTAGCTATGTTTAATACCTCAAGGTCATGTGGCTGTGGGGCGTGTCAGGGCCGGAGGATGGGGATTGACTTGGGGACTTCGTCCTCAGGGACTTGGTCCTAGGCTCTGGCAGCCACTGCTGCCCCTGCTCCTCCCTTTGTCCTCTGCCTGTGTCACATACACCGATGGCAATAACTTCTGGCCCCTCCTCACAGAAGCAGGAGGGCCTGCAGCCTGTGCCGTGCGGGCCTCTCTCTTCCTCCCTCCTCCCTTCTGTCCTGGCTGCAGAGGCCGGTTTCCCCGCCTCCCCCTCCCAGCGTCTCTCATCCCTTGCTTCCCTTTGTGGATGTGGGTCTTGCCTCTTAAATTCCTGTGCTTCCATGTCTCCCTCTCCCCCACTACCCTGGATCATCTGTTGCAGTCTTGACGTGTGATGGGAATGTGCTTGTAAACCGCGTATCCAGTCGACTTCGTGTACATGTATGTTTATGGGGTGGTCTGCTCCTTTTGCTGGTCTCTAGACCACTTTCTGTGGCCACCCATGGTCTGCGCAGGCCAGGGGCTGACAGCTCAAGTCAGGTCCCTCAGCAGGCTGCTGAGGGGACCCAGCTGCTCTTGGACAAGTGGCTGAGCTCCTGTCTAGCCTCCTTTTTTTTTTTTTCTTTCTTTCTTTTTTTCTTTTTTTTTTTTTTAAGTAATTTGTGTGTATTTCTAACTGATCATATTGGAAAAAAAAATCCTAGTATTTCAGTAAAACGCCTGTTGTGAGATGAACCTCTGTAACTTCTATCTGTTCTTTTTTGAGGCTCAGGGAGAAACTAGCATTTTTTTTTTCCAAACTACTTTTTGTCACTGTGACAATTGTAAATAAAGTTTGAAAATGCTTTCCACCCTGGTCTGGCTTCCTTCTTTCTTCCTGCTACATTGGAGTTGAGTCCATTTGGGACAAGGGTCAACCCTCCCCACCTCCCCAGGCCAGATTAGGGGCACTCCTGAGCGAGGCACCTCCTGTCTGCTGGTCCTTCTGGATTACCCCGCCCATGGATTTTTTATCCCCTAGTTGGATGAAAGCCACCTTTCTTTTCTTCATTGTGTATGGTTCTCAGTTCTAGATGTACCTGAGAGTAAGCCAAGGAGTTTTAAAAACAAATACCAGGGCCTTACTCAAAAGATGTTGATTTGAATGATCTGGGGTAGTATCCAAGAATTAGTATTTTCTACAATCACCTGGGGAGAAGCTAAAGTTTGAACATGCTTTTAAAGGAAAAGAAGCCAAAGATGTGAGGTCGATCCCAAAGGCAGAGGTGGAGGGGTAAGTAAGTAGTAGTAGTTAGGTGTAGGTACAAAGAGATTGAGCAATAATTCAAACCATTTGAGTACCCATTACTTGTCAAATAGGAGGTGAGGACACAAATTAGCAGTGGTATTAGCCAGGTATGGTGGCACTCTGGGAGGCTAAGGCAGGAGGATCCCAACTTTGAGCCCAGCATGGACAAAACCCTAATTCAAAATATAAAATAAAATAGTGACCGAGTAAGTGTGTAGCCAAGGCAAAGACTTTGTGTTCAATCCCCAGTACAAGAAAAAGAATTAGTAGTCATCTTGGCTTTCATGAGTATCAAGTTAAATGACTGATACAGTGAGGGCAAGGCAGGAAAAAGCTGGGTGCCCTCAGAGGGAAGATCAGATGGGAAAGCCCGAAAGAACATCAGGAAAAAAGGACAAGAAGGAATTAGTGGGCGGGTAGCAGGAGAAGGGTTTGGAAGGCATGGGGCAATGCTTGCTTCCACAAGGGAGGGGAGCTTGATGGTGGGGCTGGGAAAGGAAATCATACAGAGAGGACTTCTCAGGCGGGGTAAAAAGTTTAGATTTTGTTATAAGTGCGGAAACTAGTGTGGTCTGATTTACATTTTTATACTATCTGGCTCAGTAGAAATGGGTTGGAGGGGCAGATGCGAAGCCTGGAGAGCAGAAAGGAGCCTTGTGGAGGTCCAAGGCAGAGAAAGTGGTGCTTTGTAGAGGAAATCGTGGACCATTTCCCTAACACAAAACCGAATTTTCGTCTTTTTCAGCTCTCTTTTGGTAGTCTAACCACGATGAATGCAGACGATAATCAGGTGATCTGTGCTGAGGGTATTTCCCAATATAAACAGAATATCAATCTATATTAACATTAGCCTTAATGGAGCCACTACATCTATGGGTCTGCTTCCCTCAGACAACTGGCAGGATTTGTCCATTCTCATGTTGGACTGTCTGTCTGCTTCCTTCTAACAGCCTGAGGATGGAGTTTGTCAGAGTGTGCTCTCCTTGAACATAACCTCTCAGCATCTGGCTTTATTAGAAAATCCTACGAAACTACCATTAGTCCATAAAGGCTACTATGATAACTGACAAGATGAGTTTACCATGTTTTTAGAATCTAGGCTCCATATACATAATTGATTGCATTTCTGCATACTGGTAATGAACAAGAAACAAAAATTTAACATAGCTGCCTGGCAAACACAAGGTCCCAAGTTTGATTCCTAGTACCAAAATCAAAACAAACACCAAAAATGTAGCATTTAAATTAGAATTAGAAAACATAAGCTACTTAGGGATAAATCTGACAAATGATACACAAAATCTGGTCAACAAAAACTACAAAACTACTTCTGAGAAAACTTAAAGAAGGTGTATACAAACGGAAGCTATACCATGTTCATGGATCCGAAGTGCTTGATATGGTTACGACATCAGAACTTGGGCTGGAGGATGTAGCTTTGTATCAGAGGGCTTGCTGGGCTTCACAGGCCTGGGGTTTGATGTCCAGCATTAAAAAAAAAGTCATCTTAGTTCTTTTCCAATTTATCAACAGTAGTCAAAAATATCAGAAAGTTTCCCTTTCTATAGGTATTAATGATCTAATTGTGAAATTCATATGTAAGTGCAAAGGACCAGCTGGACATGGTGCTGGGACCCTGTAATCCCTGCATTCTGGGAGTCTAAAACAGTGAATTGCAAGTTCAAGCCCAGTTTGTGTGATTGAGCAAGTTAATGAGATCCTGTCTCCAAATAAGAACTACAAAGAAGTACCTGAGTCAATCCCTGATATCACAGAAAAATATGAAAAAATATTTTTAAAAGAACCTAAATAACAGACTTTTTAAAAAAATGTATTTGGTACAGGGTCTCATAACACAGCTCAGACTCACAGTGGTCCTCCTGTTTTCAGCCTCCCCAGCACTGGGATTACAGGCGTGCACCACCACGCCCATTCTTAGTGGCTGGCTCAGTGCACCCAGGGGGGTGAGGCCAGTACAGCAGGTGGTGCCGGGGGTCGAACCCAGTCCCTGTGCTTGCCTAAACAGGCCCTTAGTCCACTGAGCTATCTCGCCAGTCCTCTGTAACAGAACCTTGAGAGAAAACACAAAGACTTGTGACTTTCTATTTTGAAACTTATTACAAAGTGACAATAATCAAAGCAGTACAGTACTGGCATCAAAGATGGAAAAGCAGATCAAAGAAGCAGAGTCCAGAAATAGACTCACATGTGCACGGGCAACTGATTTTTGACAAAGGTGCAAAGACATCTGAGTGGAGAAAGAGTAACCTTTACAGCAAATGGTGTGGCACAAGTGGACA